GTAATAAAGAGGTGGGGGTTTTTTTTGGGGGGGGAGAGGGGGTGATACCAAATTATGTTACGATACCAATATACCACTTTAGGTCTATGATGTCAAGACTGGTTCAGGGCAGATGTGTTCACACACTGAACATGAATATACCTTGTGATCTGGTCTAGTTTCTCTACCTCTTGCCCGAAAAACATCAGTGAAGAATTTCTAAATGGATTAGTTTGAACTTGTTAAAAAATTTAATAAATTATGTCTTTAGTTTGCTCAAACTCAAACACATCTAGTTGATTTCCCGGAAACAATTTGAGTGGAGGTAAAGAAATTTTGACAAAGCAAGGCAGATATGATATGCTCACATAATGAAAATATGTTTCTCTTCCTGCTTCCCAAATAACACCACTAAAAACTTTACAAAAGGTAAAAATGGAATTTGGTTAAATATTCATTTATAAATTATGTCTTTAGCTTGCATTAGCTCACGTGTGAAGATGCTGGCTCCAGAGTGGCAGGCATATAGAAACACGGCAATTCCACAGGTCCAGGGTCCGATGGCTTTCATATAGTGGATGAAAATGTCCAGCTTGACCTGTGAGAAAGGCAGAAGGGTAAACTCTGAACGTTTCGCTACTTCTGAATTACAAAGTTTTATCTGACGTTTTTGGCCGTTTTGAGGTCATAAGACTTTGAGGTCAGAAACCGAATGTTCTATCTATTCCATCAAAATCTTCAGATTATTTTGAGTCGTTATGAAGATATTCAAAGAACTGCATTCGAAAAAGTTTGACATGATGTGAAACACAAAATCTTTGACGTCAAATCTCTCAAAACTAGGTACTGAGCAGATAGAACTTTGGAATTCTGAGGTAGCTATTTGCTTCTTGTTGTTGCTGTATTAACACACACTGGTTATCTAGAGCAGGGTGGGAGTTGAGATCAAGGAGCAGCTCCGTGTGAAACAAAGATTTGCACGAGAGTCCTCTGAATGAAAACGTCAGTAAATAGATTTGACGCAAAGTCAAACTCGAGCTTTTTGCGGACAGAGTAAATTAATTGTATTTTATCTTGAGGAAACCTGTATAAAAAGCGATTTGAAAGTTTATTTATTTCATTTTTTTTCTTACTAAAAACAACGTCCCTCCCCAACCCTCCCCCAACCCAAAAACAAAAAACAAAACAAAAAAGGGTGTGTTTATTTCCCCCTTTAACTCCTCATATCCTGCAAATTATCCCCATTTTCTTCTTTCTCACATTTCTCATCTTCTGATTCTTTACATGTATCGGGTCTGTTTCCTTCCCTCACCTTTATTTTCATATTTTGCTCTCTTCTTGATATGTTCTAGTCGTTTCTGTTTCTAAATTAATAAGTTGAATATTTAGAACACTTTTCTTTAGTCAAAACACAACGTTTTATGTTACTTTTGTACTTTGTACTGTATTGTAAAGCGCTCAGAGCCTGCGTACTTTAATCGGGGTTGAGCGCTATATAAATGTCATTTATTATTATTATTAAAGTGCGTACTCATCGCTCCTTTTTCACTTGCCGCTTCTCAACCATTGTCTTTTTTTCCATTTTTCTTCTCGTCCTCATCACATAACCTCTTCCTTCTCCTCATCCTCCTTCTCCTCCTCCTCCTCCTCCTCCTCCTCCTCCTCCTCCTCCTCCTCCTCCTCCTCCTCCTCCTCCTCCCCCTCCTCGTCCTCCTCCTTCCCCTTCTCCCTCTTCTCCTCTTCTTCTTCTCCTCCTCCTCTTCCTCCATCTCCTCCAATCTTCTTTCCTCCTATGTTATCTTTTTCCTCCACTTAAAAATCCCACCATTAAATTTTCATGATCTCTACTACTGTCCCACTTACCTTTCCTTCAGCTCCCTTCTCCTCCTCGATCAACCTCTCTCCCGCCACCGGATCCTTCTTGGGGATATTCAGAGAGGATTCCAGGATTTCATCAACAGCACTGCGCTGTCTCTTTGGCTGTACACTTGACCGGCGTCTGGGGGCAGACTGGGACTTGCGCCGTCTCAATGAACCAGAGTTTCCAAAACTCCTTCACACGAGAGGGACGATAGAATGAAAAATAAAAACGAAATCACTGGCTTGCCTATTTGGGTTATCACTGTCTGTAAATGTGAGGCAGCGTGGTGGAATCAGGCTGTCGTCAATTTTTGGGCATGTAGAGTTATTGAAATTATCTTAAAGCTTGTTCACTTGTCTTTATTTGGATGAAAAAATCCATTTATCTTGAATACATGTCAAGATATTTGCAAAAGAAGGAGGTGGGGGTCACTTGTTTTCAGAGGTAAAATTAGTGAGAAAAGGACTGCCAAAGATTAGTTATTTCCTTAGCCTAAGAGTCCGTGGTAACTGTAAATTTACATTTTTTGTGCCTTTAATCAACGTTTTTCGGAAAAATCCACACAGAAATGAGTTCTTTAATGGACATGAAAGGTGTTGAGCTAAAAAAAAAAAGATAAAAATTCACAAACCTGCGGAAATAAGCAAGTTTCTTCACTTTGATCATTTTGACGAGAGCCTGATTCCACCACGCTGTCTCACAAATGGTAACTATTTGCCCCCCCCCCCCATCCCCAGCGCGTGATAGGAAATAGAAACTTTTAATTTGTTCCCCTCACAAGTTTGTTTTTCCGCATTCTTAAAAAATGCAGGGAGTTGATGTTTGATGTTGTCTTCATAACAACTTGGTTATTTGAGGGGACATGCTCTTTGCTTCAGGTAGGCTATATCTCCTATAGGACCAAACCGATTGAGCGGCTTATCGGAGGGCACCACAGGTAGGGTCTACTTCTTTTCTTTCTCATTGTTTTTTTCTACCAATCTGTCTTGCTTATTCTCTGAATTGTATGGGTGTTATTCCATCGATGTGCTTCTCTTCACTCAAACTCAAACTCAAACTAAACTAAATGGATTGAGAGACAGAAGTAAGGAGTCTTGACAAGATTCTAAATTTAAATGCCACTTTGGGAATTCAAACCATGCCCCCCCCCCTTGCACCACAATCAAGCTCGAAACCGGCTGAGACAATGAATCGGCTTCGTGAACATCACTGGAGGGATAGTGTTGTGTTCTGACAGCGCCATGGTAGTCTCAACCACTCACTTTGTTTGCTCATCTTCTTGGGAAGAATGCCCTGACATAACAGGTCCGCTCACGGACTCCAGTCTTTCAATCACTTTGCGCTTCAAAGCTTCCACTGAAAAAAAAGTGTCACAGTTTGAATTAAAGGAAATTATGAAATACAAAACAATGCCCCAAACATAAAATGACAAACTATGGAAAGATGAAAGAGACTGAAATGTGAAATTGATAATGAGTTGAAGAGCATTTGAAACACAACCTATTTGAATTTACATCTTAAATGGAGACAAGACGCATTTTTATACTAGATTGATAAACATCTCCATTAGAAACATTAAATTACACTGAATTAAGTCTCTAACTCCTGCCTTACCCTTCCCGAGGTTGCAGAGAAAAACCCCCACTGTAGTGTTTGATGTACAGACGCCTACAAGTCTCTGCCTTAGAAGGACACATCTGTTTGACATCTTTGGCCGTTTTGAGTTACTATTACCATGAGGTCAGAAACCAAATGTTCTATCTGCTCCATCAAAATCGTAAACGTATTCGGAGTCATAATAAAGATATTAAAAGGGTTGAACATGAAAAAGCGTGACATGTTGTGAAACGCAAAATATTGAAGGGGCTACACCCTCAAAGTCCCAATTCGGCTCAAAATTATGGAATTTGAGTTGTAGGCATTTTTAGCTTCCTCAGCCTCTACTACAACTATTTCATCGCATAAGAACCCCCCATAACCGCTTTTTTACCATACCGGGCATGTTCATCACCACCATTTCCTCATAATAAGTAAATATATTATTTTTCTTTATCGGCTGTTTTCTCAAAACGCGACTTTCTTTAATAACTCCACCATATTTTACCCAATTTTCATGAAATTATCACAGAATGAAGAGAAGATGTAATACTAAAAATGTATTTGTTGAAATTTTGATATATGGAATATATTTTTTTTGGTGGTGTCTGGAGTGTGGATTTTCTCGGATTTTTTTGCAAACTTGAATGCTAACTCAGGAATACATTCATTAAAAAATTTCTAATTCGTTTAGGACAAAAACAAAAGACGTATTTTTAGATTTAATGTTTGTTAACACGTGTGCCAAAAAAACCCCCCAATCAATTTCCAGGAACAATAAGTGCGGTATTCATTACGAAAGACATGTCAACAAAATCCAATATGGCGGCCGTATCTATGGAAACAAAACTATTTTTCTCAAATTTGATTGCAAATTTTAAGACTCCTTACTATGCTTGTTATATGTGTGAAATTTGGTAAAATTTGGTCCAGCAATAAGCGGGATAGCCTTCAAGTGTAGCCCCTCCCCCTCCCTTTAACGTCAAATTTCTCAAAACTAGGTACTGGGCAGATACAACTTTGTTGTTCTAAGGTAGCGAAGCGACACACTGAAGCCCGGATGATTAAGTTCCAAAAATAATACATGGAGATCGTACTAGAGGGTGACGTTCCCTTTAACCGTTACCTTCTGGATCAACTTCACCCTCAGAGCTGTCCTCCATATTGTCCTGCAGATGTTCCTTAAGGAACTGTGCGAAGGCGCCATCTTTGCTGAGCAGCTCCTCATAACTGCCGACCTCGCTGACCCGGCCGTCAGAGAGCACCACAATCTGGTCCACCAGGGGGAGCCAGTGCACGCCGTGGGTCACCAGGATACGGGTCTGGGTACAAATAGCGGTTCAAAGTAAGGAATGCAGAGAACATTTCATGTGAAACTTGTTGAATCGTTCTAAATGGCACTATTCTTTTTAAAAGTTAAAAAAAATCCATTTTAATTGATCCTCACTTGGACATGTACCTTATGCAGTTGCGAGCGCCGTAAAACGTCTACTAAAAAAAAAGGACATGTAGAAAATAATATTTTGAGACCTCTCCATAATTCGTATACATGTATTTCTGATAATGATCACGCTCCTTTGGCGATTACATTATAAACAACAACAAAACGAAACAAAACAAGAAACAAACATAGTGTCGAAGGTCGATCCCAATCCCATGAATCTGTATTGACAAAGAAGCAAAAGAACAATAAGCTAAATATTTTACAACATGAAAAGAAATTACTTCTTTAAAAATATGGTCCACAAGGAAAAAGGAATCAATTATTGTAGAGAGATTTTTGAAATGATATGGGGAGATATGGTAGAACAAGTCAGCACAAGTCTTACCTTGTCTTTCAGAAGGCCTCTGTGACTGAGGACGTTAGTAAAGATGTGTTTGCCCACGTGACTGTCCACGGCACTGAGCGGGTCGTCCAGAAGGAAGATGTCCTGGTCACTGTACACAGCCCGGGCCAGGGACACGCGCTGCTTTTGACCACCGGACACGTTTATGCCCTGGGACAAACAAGTTTTCACTAGATGGACATCGTCATTATTGAGCACCGGACATATTTATGCTCTGGGAAGAGACAGCATATCTTAAGATAAACCGAGTCTTTATTGACCACCGGATACGTTAGTTCAGTTGATATCGTGCTAGATTATGACGTTTAGAAAACATTTGAAACTACATGAACATGCAATCATGCAATATAAAAAAAGAAAAACCACATTCTTAATATGTATGCACTCTATTTTAAAGACATCATTTGATTCACTTTACTCAGCAAGACATTTCCTTTTTTCGTCTAGGGAAAAGATAATATGTGAGGCAGCGTGGTGGAACCAGGCTCTCGTCAATTTTTGGGAATATTGAGTTATTGGTACTATCTTAAAGCTTGTTCATTTGTCTTGCTTTCGATGAAAAATTTACCCATCCATCTTCAGTAGAAGTGGAGATATTTTGGATTGAAGGAGGTGGGGGGTCACATGGATTAAGAGGTGATATTAGCGAGAAAATGGCCGCCAGACTTTGGTAAATTCCAAAGCTGGAGAGTCCATGAAAACTGTAAATTTATATTTTTGTGCCTTTAATCAACGATTTTGGTGAAATCCTCAAAGGAATGTGTTTGTAAATGGACATAAACGTTGTTGAGCCAAAAAACAAAAATTTGATAAAAATTGCTAAGCAATTATTTTGACGAGAGCCTGATTCCACCACGCTGCCTCACATATGTTGCAATTGATTCAAGGTTTATTTGTATTATCGTTATCGAGCTGATACCACTAACCTTTTCTCCTATTTCCGTTCGGTCCCCAGCAGGCAGAATCTCCAAATCTGACTTGAGCGCACACGCTTCGATGACCTCATCATATCTTCGGTAGTTCAACGGAGACCCGAATAGAATATTGT